CACTCACCAACGGTCAGAACCCTCAACTAAATGCAGAGTATGTATTTGCGTACTAAGACTAGATCTCTAGATATCGTCGAGGACTATGCTTTTGGAAAAAGCGAGAACCGACTCCAGGCCGCCGACTTTGATCCATCATTCAGAGATGCCATGCTTCAGGGCGGTAAAGCCGGCCATGTCCTGAAGCACTTTCCCTGGCTGATGGACATGCTACGCAAGCTGCCTAACTCCATGCTGCTCAAGCTGAGCCCAGCCATGGGCGCCTACTCCCAGCTCCAAACGAATGTGAAGAAACAGGTGGCCGACATCACACAAGCACACCAAATGCACGCGTACGACAAGACGCGCCGCACCATCTTCCACGAGATCCTGAACAGCAAGCTCTCTGACTACGATAAGTCCACGGACCGGCTCTGGCAGGAGGGCGAAGTCGTCGTCGCGGCGGGTACCATCACCACGGCCTGGGCGCTCGGCGTCTCGACGTACTTCGTCCTCGCCACGCCCGAGATACTCTCGCGGCTCAAAGACGAGCTCGAGGCCGCGATCCCCGATCCATCGCAGCCCCTCAGCTTGCTCGTGCTCGAGCGTCTTCCTTTCCTGACGGGCGTGGTGCAGGAGGGCGTCCGTCTCAGCCATGCGATCTCGCACCGGTTGCACCGCATCTGTCCGGACGAGACGCTCGTATACCGCGCCGACGATCGTGAATGGCGTATCCCCCCTGGCACTCCCCTCAGTATGACCAGCAACCTGGTGCACCACGACGAGCGCGTCTTCCCCGACTCTCACACCTTCAAGCCTGAGCGCTGGGTCAACGACCCCCTGCTGGACCGCTATCTAGTGGCCTTCGGCAAGGGTGGTAGAGCTTGCCTGGGTATCAATCTGGCATATGCGGAGCTCTACCTCACGCTGGCGGCACTTTTCAGGGTTTACGGGACGGAGGAAGTTCAAGGGAAAGATGATATCGGAACCTTGAAGCTCTTTGAGACGACCGCTGCTGATCTCGTTATCACGAGCGATACTGTGGTTCCTGTGATGCCGGAAGATTCCAAGGGGTTGAGGGTAACGGTACATCAGTGACCTGAGTAGGTGGCAGCGGTCTCTTGGGCTCTTAGTTTTATGGCCGTGACAGGGTAACGAGAATAATCTTATCGTCATCATGAACTTTTCCCGGGTCATGTAGAAAGTAGCCTGGAAGGATCCTCTCCAACGTAACAGAAAGACTTTCATTTTGATTGCGAAGATGACGGCCCTTGCAGACCCTTCTCATGGGGGAAGTCATCGACTTGGACGCGCACATCATGGAATATGCCTTTTCAGTGAAGACATGCCTGTTGCTCTCTGCCATTGAGTTCTTTTATACGACCAGAGCTGGCCCTGTGGTGAAAATAGTATTTTAATAGAAGATTCAAGAGGATGGTGATTAGATAATAGCTACAGGTGTAACGGTCTGAGCCCGCTTGTTGCCATCTCCTACATGCAAGCGGCTCTCGAAGACAAGAGCATTATTATTCTTGTGTCTTTTCAAGGCCTTAGTGACGGGAAGGCTGGGTTACTCCCTCTTCTGCCTCGCTGTTCATGACCTTATTTAACTCTTGGTTACGATGAGTACCCAGCAAAGTCCAGAACGTCTAACCCCTCCGTCATACAATCCCAGAGAGCGTTTCGACCAAATCTCTATAGATATCCCTCTAAAGCAAAATGATGAGCATTAGTTCAATTGTCCAAGAAAGAAAGGCATCTGCTGTCTCCGGTGACGAGAACTTTGGGGCCCTTGAACGGCCCTGCCCCAAGCGGCGTGGGAGAAGCTCCCATATCCAGAAATCTACAAATGGCTCACAGTCACGACCGAGCCAGGACTCATTGTTTCATCATGGCTAACCCCTTATATTGGAGAGTCCTCTCCCGAGCGCTTCAAGTCGATCACGGGCTATGTACGCACCTATGCCTGCTTGCCACAACCACAAAGCCACCAGTATGTATGGGATGCGGCCCCAAACGGTGCCAAACGGGTGAGATGGCTTGAACCCGTTATAAACCTGGAATATCTGCATCAGAGACTTCGGACATGAGACAAGTGCAGTACATGAAATGGAACTCATTCGGGCAGTTGTAAACGCTTTCACTGCGTCAGGTGTAGAGTAAGTCAGGCATCCTCAGCTTGCGCTTGGCAATACGTGAGCAAGGTACTAAAATATTCCTTGCTACAGAAACTATTGAATGAGCTTCAAATTTCATATCTCTTCGTTCGATAGAGACATTCCTTGACGCTGGGTCGCAGGATCTCCACCAGTACATTCCTCTGGCCCAGCCACCGTCATGGTCAAAGTTAGCGCAGTGGGGTTCCACGGATCAACACTGACCCGTGGATCTTAAGCCATCCGCCGCTGTAGAAACTTGCAACAGATCACATCATCTAGATACCGTATAACACTCAGCCCTTATACGATATGTAATGTCGCGCACGACCAGTAGCAACACACCTACCCTGCCACAAGCCGTCCAAGAACGGGGCTCTCTTCGCACGCTAGAGAAGGGCGAGAGTCAATTCATCGGCAGCTCCAGTGGGATCTATTTCGTAAACACAGTCCGACGAGCCTTCATAAATGCCAACTCGCGACTGTCGTCTCGTCTTCTTGATACCGCGCACCCGACTCCTGAGGAGTGCATCGTTGCAGACGGCGAGGATGAACAGCAAAGACCCGACGTGGATGCCTCTTTACTGCCGTCTTCCTTTTCTTACGGCCATGGAATACCCACTGGACTTGGCAGACCGCCTCAACCGGACGTTGCAAAACAGCTATTCATGACATATTTTCAGACTTGGCATCGCTTCTTCCCGTTTCTGCACGGTCCAACTATCCTCAGGGACATGGAGGACCTTTATAGTTCTTTAGACGAAAACAGTCGAGCATCAGAGCCCATCCCTCCTAGGGTCCCAACAACACTCCCAAAAGTAGTTATCCTGCAGTGTATCTTCAACCTGGCAAGCCTACATAACAGCAGCCAACTGCCAGTCGCATCCGAGATCCAAAAGCCCACCGATCTTCTCTCTTATCTTCCTGGCCTTGCCGTCAAAGGGGATCTTGTTTCCATCCAAGCGCTTTTTGCCGCTGGTCTCCTCCTGGTAGCTCGCATGTCGCTCCGTGCAGCCTCGGTTGTCAGTGGTCTTTTATCCCGCGCTGTCTTTCTAGCGGGGCTTCATCGGTGTCCTTGCCGTTACGGAAAGCTTACGGCGGATGAATGCGATATTAGGAAAAGGTTGTTCTGGTGTATCTATGTCTTTGATCGCTATCTATCCCAGGCTCTTGGACACCCGTTGGGAATTCAAGACTCCGATGTGGATGTCTGTCCTCTGGATGGACCCGAGCTTCACCACCCTCTGCTCTATCCGACTGTCCCTTCAAGTTATAGTGGCGTGGCTTCGCCATTCTCTGGGCTCTCGGCGATGTCCGTGGATGCCACGATCACGGGGCGACAAAGTGAAGCAGGTCTCGGCAGGGCAACAAGCGAGGATGAATCTAGTCAGAAGCATAATCGCCATTCAAGTTTATCATTCCAGGTCCAATACTCGCGTCTGCTTGGTCGCGCCCTGGAACTCTTCCACAAATCTCTTCATATCCGATCCATCGATAGCGGGTCGATTCTCTCACTTCAAACAGACATAAACGCACTCTGGAATGCACTACCTTCATCTCTACAAGAATTCGACCCCTCCTCTTGTGATACTACTGACAGAAACCAAAGTCAGGTTTTCAATGAGTCAGCGCACTTCATCCTACTTCACAGCCAATTAGTACTCTTAATCCATCGTCCCAGGCTGTCTCTAGAGCCGTCCACACCAGAGTTCCAATCTGCGATCCAAATCTGCATTAACGAAGCGCGAGAGATTATTAAGATCACAAGCAAGCAGATCAATGCAGGGTATGCGCTCTTCTGGCCGGCCTATCTCTCTGTTACGTGGATGGCTGGAATCGTTTTGGCCTTTGCATGCCAACTGAGGCTCTATTCAGCGGAGAAAGGCAAAAGGTGAGAGAACTGCGGATTATCTTAGTCCCCTGTTCAATGGACTGCCCCTCCTTTTTTCGAAATGTCCCACAGCAACTTGACCTATATGCCGCTATCGAATTTTGGACGCCTGTACTGACAAAGTGAAGGGAGATTGGTATGTGCCTTGACGTCTTACTTCATATGTCCGAGCGATGGAAGCTTGCAAAGAATTGTCATGCTGTTCTGTCTGACCTTGCAGAGGCTATCCAGGAGATGGAGCATACTGCGAAGAGACCAGCGTTTGAAGTGTCAGACTCTACCTTCGATTCTGTACATTCAGGTAGGGACTCGGTATCTTCTGCTATGAATTATCAAAGCGATTCCAGAAAAAGAGCAAGGCTAGATACAGAATCTAATCCCAGGTCAAGTCAAAGAAATGATGGATCCGGACAGCCTCTCAATCAAATTCCTGCGGATATCGTCAATGTGTCCATGGGCGAACCACTGGGTAGCAGCTTTGAGCCTCTTGATGCCACGGATGCGGCCATTGAGGATGACATCCAATATTTTGGTGACCCAGGCAGACTAAGTAGTTGGGAGAGCGGGATGCCTGACCTGTTGGCGGGCATTACATGGGAATCACTGCTGGGAGGTATCAACGAGGATGATCCTTCTTGGGATAGTGCATTTTTCTGATCAGTCCAATGCGAATGAGACTCAAAAAGAGAGATACAAGCCTTATTTCAATTGATTGCATCAATACCACTGTGATTATATAATTATCACTATTTTCATAAACCTGCTGCGAGTACATTTCTCGTTGGTGCATCGGCGAAACCTTTAGCCGTCGCGTCACGGTCACGAAGTTTAATGGCTCAAGCCATTCGCCACTCCATAAACCCCGTCTTTTCCCCCATTCACTCGTCTAGGTAATAATTTCTACCGACGTTCCAGTTGCGACACCAGTTATTGTTGTCACTATAGCCAACGGCGGGCGAAAGTACATAGCAACCATGTCCCCAGCACGAGGCCGCGCAGCATGTAAGACCTGCCGATCGCGAAAGCAAAAGGTAAGATGAAGCCGCAAAGAAGAAATAGTCTACTATGATCATCCGAGTTGCTAATTGGAACTATTACTGTGCAGTGTGATGGGATCAGGTATGTTAACAAACTGCAACATCCAAACAACCAAGTGCTTACGTTAGAAGGCCAGCATGCTCAAGATGTCGAAGCCTTGGCTTGCAGTGTACTTGGCCAACAGTCCTGAAGCGGTAGGTCTTTTGAACACACTTCACGAATAGCGAATATACTCATGGTATCCAGGGGTCCGCCCAAGGGGTATACGAAAGCTTTAGAAGCGCGGCTTGCGGAGACTGAACTGGTTCTGATACGGCTACTGCATGCAACAAATGACGAGGGCTTGCTAGCTCGTGCCTTTGATGGGGACACCCAAAAGCGAGCTCATAAGCGATTTGGCGAGCGAAACACCGAGCTTAAGTCATCGGTTATAGGCGAACATAAAATGCTAGCCCTAATGGACCATTGGGAGCGGTTCCCTTTACGGACAGCTGATGACGTTAGGCAGTGGATTGGGGAAGTCAGCAAGACCTCCATGATGCAAGGCGAGGGTACAAATCAGTCTAATGAGAAGACGCGGGGACTTTTGCGAGTAGAGAGCTCTTCTGGGAATGCCGATTATCAACATGAGGATGAGGTTCAGAGCCCTGCTGGTGCTGGGGATGATATGGCGGTTGGGGACCCTTACCGTGACGATTCAGTCGATCAAGACTCAATAGGCCAACCACCTCAGAGGACTGAGTCGGTAGGTAACATGCAACCAGCATGTGAGACGCATGCGGTGCAAGATATTACTACCTCTTCTAGGATCGAACTACCAGCAGACTTCAAAGATCAGTTTCTGTGGTAGCATAGAGAAATACCAGGTTTTTTTCGTGTTGATGCCAGATATGAAAAGCTGAAGCAAAGATTCTTTAATTAATTTGATGTCTATTTAAGAGTGATCCTGATCATTTCGCCACTTTTGTACATACACAGCCGATATACGAGCAGCCGACCATCTAAAGGGTCAAAAAGCGATACTTATTTTTCAGCTACAAAGGATAAACCGGTTTGAATGTTCACCTTCAGCTCTTCCACTGCCTTTCCAAGGAGGATATTTTCCCCGTCTGACAAGTTCCCGATGGGGAGTAACCCTTCTGCACCTCGCTGACCCAGCTTCACTTTAACGGAGAAGTAGTCAACCCCAAGCTCGGTCGAGATCTCCTTTCCTCCACTGATTCCTGGCAGGTAGACATAGGCCTCTTCCACGACTGGAGTTCCAGACCTTGCGGTAAGGAGGGCCTTCACAAATCGAAACCCTGCATAAGCCATGCAAGTCGTGGCGCTGCCGGCTCCTTGCTTGCTCTTGACTATTTCATCACCTCCAAATTGTACACCTGTTGTGACTAGTTAGCTATCTCATTTCCGGTCGGGGTTGAAAAACTAAAAACATACGCTTTATAACATTGGGGAGTTCGGCGCCGAGGTCAATGGGCGGTTGGGCCTGGCTGTAAAGGGGAAGAATGGTAGCACCACTGTGGCCACCGATAACAGGGACTTTGATACTGGTAGGGTCGGCATCGCCGCCAAGGGCGTGTGCAGCAAAGGTCGACGCGCGCACGACATCTAGAGTAGTCACGCCGAAAAGACGCGTAGGATCAAAGACACCGGCTGCGCGCAAAGTCTCGGCTGCAACGGGAACTGTTGAGTTTACAGGGTTGGTAACAATACATGAGATTGCTTCAGGGCAGGTCTTTGCAACCTGGGCAAAGATGTCTCTAATGATTGAGGCGTTGGTCTAAATAACTAAGTGAGCAGACTGCTGAATAAACAGGGCCGAGAGCTCTCACATTGAAGAGGTCTAAGATGCTGGTTAGTGGCAAGCTCTAGTAAGATGATTTGCGATGAGTGACTTACCATCTCGAGTCATTCCTGGTTTCCTAGCAATCCCAGCAGTGACAACGACAATGTCGGCTCCGCTGAGTGCTTTGGCCAAACCATCGTTGGAAGGTAAATAGCCAGAGACAGTCGCTTTGGTGTCGATGTGATTGAGATCGGTGGCAATGCCGGGCGTATGGACAATATCGTAGAGGGAGATTTCTGTAAAGAGATTGCTCTATTCTCGCTGTTAGCGTTTGGGGTACCTGTGAATGTGTAGACTGTTTACAGCTTTGCAGAGTAGACTCAGAGGGGTCCCAATCTGACCGGCAGCACCAAGAAGAGCGATCTTTGTCATGGCGGTCGATTGTTATGGAGTAGTGTTTTGAGACAGAGTTTGATCACGTAGCATATGTGCATATCCTCACCTGATCTTGAAGAAAATTGCATGGCTTTATAGCCAATACTCTGCGACGATGCGAACCATGATTTATTTTGGTTGAGACGTAACGTCGGCAAAGCTTTATACCGACTTCTATGGGCATTTGTTCGGCTGATCTATCGCCCGACGTTTGTGGATCGGACGGCCATCGTCACATTGGCTACTCTTTTCCTTGTGGGACTTGGGGCAGCCGTCAAATGGCGACTCCAACAACAGATGGTTCAGCTCAGCATCTTATGCAACATGTATGTAAACGAACGAACGAATCTTATGAGGATTCGGTTGATTGAGATTTAATACGATTTGGTTATCCCACATTACATAGATAAACTCAGCGACTTGTTATACTTCCAAGACTCGAGCCAACTTGAACATTTCCCGATCTATTACTTCACCTAAATAATATGAAAGCATACAAACGCGCGTCTCTCTTCAATCTGCCTTTTTCTATGGACCCAGATAGGTTCGGCGTATTTACTAGGCGATCAAGATTGGAGCCCAGCGTGCTCTGGAACAGGTGTAAGAAGGGACTCCCCCAAAACAGCCCGCCGCGCATTCTCCATAGCACACTTTTCCATCTTGGTCAGAGTCTCTACAGTATGTGTCCCCAAATGCGGCACAAGAAGAGCCCTGTCGTTCTTCAAAAGACGCTCGTTGATCTTAGGTTCATGCTCGTAAACATCCAGACCAACAGACGCAACTTTCCCTGAATCCAGTGCCTCAGCCAGTGCATTCTCGTCAATAACAGCACCTCGGGCTGTGTTTACGATGATAACGCCATCTTTCATCTTACTGATCTCTTGGGCACCTATAAGATGCCTTGTCGCAGTGTTCAGTGGAACATGGATGCTGATTATATCACTCTCGGACATGAGCTGTTCGAAGGATACATATTTTGCCCCGGTTGCTTGCTGCGGGGGAAGTTCTGAGCGATTATGATAGTGCGTGATGATACCAAAGGGGTCGCATCGGCTTTTGAGGGCACGGCCAATGCGTCCCATTCCTAGGATACCGAGAACTTTGCCTTGCGGATCGCGGCCGAAATCAATGCCCTTCTTGAAGTTTCCCCGGCGCAAGGAACCAAGTGATGGGTTGAGTTGTCTCAACGATCCGAGTAGTAGCCAGAGAGCCAAGTCGGCTGTGGCATTGGTGACCGGGTCAGGCGCGTATGTGAGGGTGATTCCTCGATCGGCGCAAGCCTGAACATCAATTTGATCATACCCTGACAAACTGCTCTTAATTTCATTTCTGTTACTAATGAAATTATGGACTCACCTGCTCCATTGTGGCAGATAAACTTGCAGCTTGCTGGAAGGTGTTGAATGAATTCGACGTCAAAGTTCCCCGCGACCTGTAGCATGTCAGCGTGCGAATAAAGGCACAATAAAATGGGGAGACTCACGGCACCGCTTGCTGATGTTCTGTAAATCACCTGAATGTCCTTATACTTATCCTCAACATCTTTGAAGAATTCTTGCCTGTTCGAGCTGGTGACCAGTTCAACTCTCGCAACCTCGTGCAGCTCTTCAAATGCTGCCTTGGCGTGCCTGACGGGGCTGAAGAAGAGAATGAAGGGCTTGGATGTCTGCATATTGTGTTTTATGATTAATTCGGTGAATTTTATAGACTACAGTTTGATTTACATACCTTGTGCGGCGGGTTTATGTATCGATAGGACTTGGGCCTTTGTAGGGGTCGGCTTTCAGATTACCCGATACGCGATGAATAGAATCTAAGCGGTAGAAGAATCCACCGAAGGTGCCGGGTTCCCGTTCAATTAGTGGATCGCTCTCTATCCTCAATGGATCCTGTCTTCAGGGAGCAAGAAAACACCGGACCTTAGGATAAGGTGACAAAGTAAACTCAGGAAAAGGTATCCTTAGTTTCTACGTTTCTGCGAAATTTAGGCTCAATTTTTGCTAACTTACCTAGGTCTTTTTGTCATCTAGGGACTAGGGTCGAGATCCTGGGGTTTCTTTCCCCCCCGAGCCTGTCTATTTCCCTTCTGGCCAGTGTCTTGGTTCAGGTCTCACAGTGTTCGGGCATCAGGAGCGGCACGGCGCCGGTCAATAGCCCATGGGTGCACTCTAACAGGCCGCTGGAATTAGATAGTTTGATAGTACAAGGGGGTAATGCCATATTGATGCTCTGAGAGTCTAGCAACCCTTATTGTGCATATATGCTCATTAGCTTTCTAAATGGGTCGTAGACAAGAAGCTCCGCCGCGGTGATCCGTTTCTCGTGTTGGTAGACAAGTCCCCTTCGTAAGATCAACACTACCAGCTCCAACTCTCTTGCGCTGACATCAGGACAAAGCTGAGTGAGCCTCTCCACTAGATCAAATTCTGAATGTATTTTCCCATTCTTATCATACCATTTGTCCTCACCCGAGCCACTAACGTGGTAGGTTCCCTTCCAAGATTCTGGAAGGGAACCAAGAGTATGAACAATAGATGACACCACTGATGCATGTCCCCAGCCATGGAACAGATATGTTCCTGTGTAGAGTTCAAAAAAGATACACATGTAACTCCAAACATCAGAGCCATACGACGGGCTGATGTTGTGTACCCGTTCAGGAGCGCAGTATGTAGCAGGTGACTGCATCTTCTGAGTCGAAGCACCAGCCTTATGAGCAAGACCAAAGTCTCCAAGGACGATTGAGTCTCCTATAAATTCCTCTTTTGCCTTCATTGGCATTACCAGTTCGCCATCTTTCCACTGCTCAGTCCATAATTTCATCTTCCTCGGCCGCCCGATTCGCTTGTACTTTTCAGATATACTGCTGTTGAGGGGCCGAAGGGTATACATTATATTGGCGGTGTTTAGGTCTGTTTATGAGTTAGCTGTGCTTCATTTCGTGTTGTGTCACTGTACCCGAATGAACTATGCCAGCCTCGTGTAGTGCCTTCAAGGCCTGGAGTAATTGTGCTACAAATGCCATTCTTGTAGCAATGGGCGTTTTTCTGGGTGGGTGATTTCTCAAGTTTGGTCCTTGAGGAGGAAGTACAAAGACGCGATGTTGACCGTGAGGGCTCGGGAGCAGGAATGTTCCATGATAGACCAACAAATAAGTCAAGTCTTTTGCTTTGCCAATTATCTCGCTCTGCATGTGATACTCACGGTCGTCAGGACTCCCCAGCATCAAGATCTTGAGCGCCACGTCTCTGTTTCCAAGCATATCCTGCGCCATCCAAGCCGTTGAAAAAGCGCCATGGCCAAGTTTGTGGATAATGCGATATCGCTCGACAATAATCTCGCCGATCGAGATTGGGTAGCAGAAACCTCTAGGGTAGAGGTTAATATCCTCACAGGCGAATTCGACATCGGGCTCCTCATCGGAGTCGACGAAGTCGCCCCAATCTTGATCATCTTCTCCTTCGAAAAGTTGTTCTTCGATCAGTGGCGCTGGCTGTGTTGGGCCGCTAGGCGGAGAGTCTGCAGCCGGAATCCGATCCATTATTGTCTGGTGGCTTTTTCCGCAAGTCGATAAAATCTGGAGAGTGGAGGTGGAGGAATCCGGGCTTCGGAGCCGAAACGGCGATGTAACCTAACCTTCGGTAAACTCCAGCATCACCAGCCTCAATCAAATTCATTTTCGTATCCCGCAATATAGATCTAAGCCTCAATCAAACGTATCAAAAGACTCCCCAAAGCCAAACTCTTCCCCGCAGCGTATTCCGCGGAACCCTTGCGGCGTTTTCTACCTCGATGTACTTTTGTCCCAATTCTCATCGCCCAATCAACAACAGCCCCAGATCGCCAAGTTAGGCGAAGTCAACTGTCAAGCCCCCCGGGGTCCCCTAGCTCCCCGCCAATCTAAACCACTTCCAGCAGGTCGACACGCCTGGAAGTTCAAACCCTCGCGCTTTCAGCAGGTCAACCCATTCAGAAGGTGGACGCGCCGAACCCTCCATCTCCAGATTGCTGCCGCTTTCATCATAGTCTCGATCCCACTCATATTGATAAGACCCTGTAATTCCATTCCATTACATTTCATCTTCAGCACATCTTCTAGCGATATTCTTCTTTTTATCATCTGCAGGTGTAATAATGTCTCCAACGATTCTCACAAACGGCCGCTTCGTTGGCGATGATGACTCGTATCGAGAGTGCATGATCGTCGAGGGAGCTAAAATCGCCTACATCGGATCCGAAGACGGCAAAACAGTCCAAGACGCAAAATCTCAAGGCGCAGATATTCTTGATCTTGGCAACCGCGTTGTTCTTCCTGGATTCATCGACAGCCATGTCCACCTTCTTTTCTTCGGTCTTTCACAGCAAAAACTCGATCTTGGCGGATGTAAATCTCTCCAAGAAATCCGACAAAGAATAATAGACTTTGCTGCTGCTAATCCAGACCTACCCAGGATTCTGTGCAGAGGATGGCTTCAATCTGCGACGGATGGAGTTGCTCTTGCGAGTATGATTGATGATATCGACTCACGGCCTATTTTCATCGACTCAAATGACCTTCACTCCGCGTGGTGCAACACCGCTGCTTTAAAAGAACTCCCAATTGATGACATCAAGGCGAAGTGCCCAGAGCATCTCACATGCGATGAGGACGGCAATCCCACCGGACTTTTGGCAGAATGGGCTGTCACAGCGTTTATCTGGCCCTTTTTGATTCAATCGCTCTCAATGGACGATAAACTTGAAGCTCTGGAACGAGCAGTTCAGGCTTATTCGGCGGAGGGCTACACTGGGGTTATCGACATGGCGATGGATGCAGTAGCTTGGGAGGCTTTACAGACGCTACGAGAGAGGAAGGGGATTAATCTTCACATCGCAGCTCACTGGTTCGTTCCGTACGAAACAGATGAGAAAGTCCTCGATGAGAAGATCCAGGAAGCTATCGACATGCACAGCAAATTCCATCCTTCAAAATCACCAGAGTTCTGCATCGTCGGCGTCAAGCTCATGTGCGACGGTGTAGTCGACGGTTGCACAGCCGCATTGTCATATCCCTACGGTGAATCAACTGATCTGGTCCAACCTCTATGGCCCGGCGAAGCTATGAACCGCGTTCTGTCACAGATCACAAAAGCTGGAATGCAATGCGCTATCCATGCTATCGGCGACGTAGCAGTCTCCCAAGCCATCTCCGCTATCGCAAGCACCAACAATCCCACTGCGCGCCACCGCATCGAACATCTAGAAATGGCGACCCCCGAAGACGCCCTCCGTCTCGGTAGTCTCGGCATCACCGCCTCGGTGCAACCCGTGCACAGCGACCCCGCCATTCTCGAAGGCTACGAAAAGCTCGTCAAGCCATCTGCGTGGAAACACTGCTTCCCTTATAAAGAATGTGTCGACGGGCACGCGAACGTCGCTATTGGTACAGATGCACCTACGGCGCGACACCTGCCGTTCCCGAATTTGTATAATGCTACGACGAGAAAGTCGGCGCTGGAACCGGAGAGGGAGACCGTTACAAATGGGGAGAGCGCGTTGACGCTGGAGCAGGCTATGAGGGGGGCGACGTATGGAGCTGCGTATTCGAGGTTTGCGGAGGGTTGGACGGGGAGGTTGGAGAAGGGTTTGAGGGCGGATTTTATGGTGTTGCCGGGGATTGTGAAGGTGGATGGACTGTTGGAGATGAAGGTTGATGAGACGTGGTTTGGGGGTAAGAGGGTATATAAGAAGTAGCTGACTACTGATAATATAGATGTAGAGTAATGTACAATAATGAGGCTGTAATCAGTTATGCAAGATCATAGCGGGAAACATCACAGTAATCTCAGATGGGCGATTATCTCAGCCTCAAGCATATATCAGCTATGACGATGCCCTCTCGGCCCGACCACCTAGCTAGTTTCTGCTACCCCAGACCGCCCCATCCCGTTATCACTCCAACAGCTACTCCCCATCTCTTATCTCCAACTCACCCATCACAACATGTCCCGCTCAAGAACCGGCTGTTCAACATGCAAAAGACGCCATCGGAAATGCGACGAGACAAAACCAGCTTGTCGTGAATGTCAAAAGAATAACCTTACCTGTGAAGGCTATGCTCTGAAGTTACAATGGGATGTAGGCGTTGCGTCGAGGGGCAAACTCACAGGTGCTTCACTTCCTGTTCTGGGGGCTGGTAATGAGAGGGAGAGGGAGAGAAGGCCAGAAATTGATGGCGCGGAAGGATTTGGGCAGTTCCAGGCTTTGCCACTAGAGCCAAATGGCCTGGGATCGGATCCATTGCTGGGAACGGGATATCCCGTAATTGAACCTGAAGAACCGCAGTGGCTTCAACGAAGAAGTGCTCAGGAAAAACACCTCTTTAAAGAATGTAAGCCACCAGTCCGTCCCAATATCCGTGTGCTCACAACCTAGTCATACAAAAAACCGTATTCCTCTTCTACTCCACCTCCACAGAAGATCCATTCCCTCTTGAACTCCAACGCCTGGCCCTCCAAAACGAACCACTATTTCTCGGCCTCATCGCCACACACGTCTACAACACCAACCCCCGGAACCCCCCACCTCTGTTCCACGATCTGTGTAACCAAAGTCTCCGTCTTTTCCGTGAGCAGCTAGGTCGGTTTGATGGGACGTTGGATGGGGGTTTGGTCAACGCGGGTGTATTCCTCTGCACTCTCCACGTAAGTCCTCAACCTCTTCAAGCCAAACTTCATATGTTTACTAGGTCTGTATTGTAGTTGTTCCAAGGAATCCCCTGGACAGCGCATCTGAATCACATGATGTGGGTGTACCATCTCTTCCCGCAGTCTAAAAACGCGCATCGGATTGGGGATCTGGAATATCGCTTTTCGCTTGAGGCCATGGCGATAATGGACATTCCCACTTTTGTCCGCGGGCGCGACACACCAACCCTTGGCATCTGGGGTTATCTCCGCGCAGCCCAAGAAGCGTCTCCAACGGGGCTAGTCGGTGGTGTCGAAAGTGTCTCGGGCTTGCCGCGAAGTCTTCTCGATATTTTTGGGAGAATGACCAATGACGATGTGGAGAAGGACCTTGTGGATTGGGAGGGTCATGAGGGGTCTATTCCGCATGTTCATCTCTGGGAAGCATTTCGACTATCGGGAATTTTACTTGCTCGACGACAAAAGCGCACACAAGCTGGCTCGCCATCCAACGAGTTACTAGTATGTCGTCTGGTAGCGACTCTTGACGCACTATACGAAACTCGCCAGCGCCAAGAATACGCTCATATCCTCGCTACGAACAGCATGCTGTATCCTTACACAGCAGCACGTCTCGAAGTAACCATTCTCCAAACACGACCAACATGGGTACGAATACTCCGTCGGTGCGGGAGTATCTGCGACGCATACCGTGACACGCCAAATGCATTAATCCTCGAAGAAATACTAGATAAGGCCTTGGAAAGGGGCGATAACGATGTTGATCTTGATAAAGAGACGAAATTGAGAGGCGTTGAGCTGAGTTTGTTCTAGCTAGGCCGTTTTAGGATGGTCGACACGCAGCCAATGAGGTGTTACATGTGCTATCTGGGTGAGTGGGTGGACCTACTGTTTGGATGCTAGGGCCATCGATATTTTGCGGGGTGTACCGATGGGTTGGTGAAAGATTTCTCTAGGCTGGGGTGAAGCCGGTTTCGGGGTGATAAGGGGGATCGCTATAAACCCGGGGTATCCTCGAGGACCTGGCTGAAAGCATACCAGGCTTAACCTGACGAGCATCTCGCTATTCCTCTGCCTTTATTATTTTCTTCCAGCATTGGCGAAGATGGATAGCGAGTTGAGCTTTCCCCCTGGGACTTCGCGTCTCCTGAGTTAGTTGTATCGCCAGCAATCACTCTACGCAGGCACTGACGCATTATACAGGTCGCTCTGAGATCATCCTCGTCCCAACGCCCTCACAGGATCCCAATGATCCTCTGGTCAGTTCTTTCGTTCCCCTCAGCACCTTACCTAACATCTCAGAACTGGAGCAAACGCCGAAAAGCATGGAACTTCACCCTCGTCCTCGCCGTAACAGTAGCATTCTTCTCAGCGTAGGCCTCCCCACTCCTCATTCTCCCATCTAATACTAAGCAACATCAGCATCGTCATGCAAATGGTCCTATGGCAACAAATGATTGTCGACATGCACGTAACCTACGACCAATTAAACTACGGCGTCGCCTTCAACTCAGCTGGTCTCGCCCTCGGAAGTTTCCTCTTCATCCCACTCGCTCGAAAATATGGTTCTAGACCTTGCTATATACTATCCACTGGGCTTATGGCTGCTGTGTCGTGGTGGAGTGGCAGGATGGAGACTGTGGGGGAGATGTATGTTACGAATTTCTTGTCGGGGCTGGCGGCGAGTATTAATGAGACGATTTCGGAGATCACGGTAAGTAACAACGTATTGGGAAGATGAAAGTTACTGACGCGAGGCAGATTGCGGACTTGTTCTTTGTTCATCAAAGAGGTACAGCGAATGGGTTTTATATCATGGCTGTCATGGTTGGCCAATTCGTCTGTCCCTGCATAGTGGGTGTTCAAGCAGCAGCTCAAGACTGGCGATGGACATACTACACCACTGGCATCGTCCTAACCGTCCTATTCCTCCTGTTCATCTTCTTCTTTGAAGAGACAGAATTTATACCCGTCACTATTGGAGAAACACGCAACACATCCAGCCAAGGCACATCCACACTCAAGAACCAAAAGGATGAATCAACGCAAGGAGACATCCAAGACTCAGACCTCAACTCAGAAACCCACCCACCCCGCCTTACATACAAAGAACGAATGCGCTTCATAACACGCACAGACGAACCCCTCTGGCGGAACTATCTCGTCCCCCTCAAAATGTTTCTCTTTCCACACGTTCTCTTCTCGGCGCTTCAAGTAGCCAGCTGCGTCGCGTTTCTCATCCTTCTCACATCATCCATCTCCATGATCTTTTCCGCACCGCCCTATAACTTCAACACAGCGGGCGTAGGGCTCATGTCGCTTGGTCCGTTTGTGGGAAACTTTCTGGGGAGTGTTTACGGTGGTGTGCTTGGTGATTGGGTTGTTGTCAAGTTGGCCAAGAGGAACAAGGGGATTTTTGAGCCGGAGATGAGATTGTATATTCTTTTGTTGCCGGCGCTTCTTATGGGTGGCGGACTTGTGTTTTTTGGAATATCAGCTGATAAGGTGAGTATCGTTCTTGTTGCGAAATTGTTTCGTTGGCTAATCGTATCAGGGCTGGCACTGGATCTATCCAAGCATTGGAGGTGCTATGTTTGGCTTTGGTATGGCATCCATGATTGACATATCATGCACCATCATCATCGACATTTACCAAACCGTACGTCTATCCAGCTAACACTACAAGACAGCAACTAACAATCAGCAGCTTACAGCAGAGGCTTTCATCTCCGTTACGTTTATCCGCAACATTCCTTCCATAGGAGTCCCATTCGGTGTTGTCGGCTGGATATCATCCATCGGCATCTCAAAGCTCTTTATAATCAGCGGATGCGTCGCTACCGCTGTCTGTCTACTGTTCATCCCCTGCGCTATTTGGGGCCTGCGTGTCCGCAAAAGTACATGGCAGATGTACGAGTCTGTACGGGAGTTGAAAGGAGCAGCTCGACACTAGTACCATTTTGCACTACAAAATTACAGCTGCATGCTTGAAAGATCGATCTCCTATTTCTATCCTACCTTCAAATGACGCGACTAAGCATGTATCGCATTGGTTGTAGTTAAGGTGGATAATGAGTAACCTTTTGGGTCCAGGTGTTATCACGAAGAGCGGCTATCCTATGAATATAAACAGGATTACTTAGATAGCTAAATGGACTTCCTGGTCTATGTCAGATAGATTTCAGAAGTCCCATCTATGGTCATCATCTGAGGTGTGCTTCACGACCTTCCTTGTCGCAGAAAGTGACCAGAAGTCCTTCGTGTCATCTTGATCTGGCCACTTAATGTGATCTGCTTGAAGTTCAGGGCGTTTTTTCTGACTGATGGGGACTTCCTCAACAAAGACTTCAGAGGCTGCAGTCCCTCTATCGGTAGTGGATGATCCTTTCTCAGATTTGCTCTGTGTTATGGCTGATACCTTCTCAATATCTTCAGGCAATAAGCCATGGTATTCTCTGCGACCGGCTACCGTGCTATGTTTGTAGAGGCTCTTGAGATCCTGTAATCCTTTCTCCAGAATCCCTTGTTTCAGCTCCTGGCGTTTTCTCTCGGCGGATATTTCCTCATTTTCGCCCGCAAGGAGGTATAACATCTCATCGCTCATCTCAGCGACACTGCTTGATGTGAAAAGTAAGGGAAGCTTGCTGATGAGGCAGTCTTCTACCGCTAGGACGCTCACATCATCGATGAATCTGTTGACTGCAACCTACGAGTAGATTAAACCCGTCAGCGCGCTTGAATCAGTCAATACTAGCTCCCTGATATATCTTACCTTGTAAAATGCTTTCATGTAATCTACTGCCAATGCGCTTCCAAAGCGCTCCATGTTTGGCTCGAATCCCTGCCCAGCCACCGTTAAGAGTTCCAGCGGATTTATACTGATCTTCTTGTCAGAGCCGTCGAAACGGTTTGTTCCAAACATCTTAGTAATCAGTGACTTAACCGTGCGTTTGTGGCGGTCTTCCTGGGTCTGCTGGACGTGCTGGACAAGCTGCGGGTTATTAGTGATGGGATGCTGCGTAGCTGATACAAGCAGTTTGTCGATCTCGCGGCTCATTTTAATTCTTAGACCCTCTACTTCTTTACGAATGAGTCTCAAGATCCCCTCAGAAACTTCTTTTGCGGCACTTTGCTCAACTACCTTTTCAGTCGTAAAGTGCACTGCATCGAGCATGTCATCAGCAAGTCTCTTGACAATCCCTTTCCAGGGCGTGCATTGCTCGACGAAAAGATCATTGACGATTTGAGGATTGAAGAGACCTGGAAGCTCGCGACCTCTGTTGTATTTGAGACGGCGAGCAACGTTGCCAATAAATTCAGACCGAGAGATGCCTGATACCCCGACGTGGGAGTTGTCAAGGCCTTCATCTTCACTTCCACTCGCTGAATCGATGATGTGTTGACTCTGACCGTCGACTCGCATTTCCTCCGCAAATTCATCGAGTCTCAGTCGTACCACAGCTCTCAGTCTCTTGGCAAAGCTAGCACGTTCGTTCCGGTTGCCGAAGAAGCGATCAGTGTAGGTACCATCTACTGCCTGTCTCATCAAAAGTGTGTAATTTTCGCTAACACGCAAAAGGTAGCTTCGTTGCTGCTGTGAGGTACCTCGTACTGGGCCCAGACGTTCAAGCGACTCAACGCAGTTGAGGATACCATCTTCAACATCCTGTATAAGGCTCGGAAGCTGAACAAGAATTTGATCTCTCAAGACGGTGCTCAATCTGACCTTTAAGGACTCTACTCCGCAGCGCGAAGACTCAATGGAACTCCATAATCCTTGGGAAAGAAACTCTTTCTCTTTCTTGTTCCTCTCTGCCAATGTGAAATCGCGCTCGTCGTAACTGCGGTTTTTCAAAACATGCCATCCAAGGTCGAGGTTTTCTTCGATATTTCGGGCAAGGCGCACAAAGTAGTTTTCAGACTCAGAGCCAACATCCAACGTATCAGGCTTTGTGATAAGGCCCATGGTCCTCAAGCCTTCCGGGTCGGCTTCCTTTGCCATCCGAGTAACTTCTTGTAGAACATAATCGTACTTAGCTGACACAACAGTGAGTATGATACTCCGCTCTCGTGCCATATACTTCTCCACCATATCGTGGACGATGCTGATATCGGCGTCAGATTGATTCTTGTTTCCCCCTCTGAATAGTCCAGGAAGGTCCACCATTGTTAGGTGTGGTTGTTCTGGCCCAATGAGCTCGACACGAAGTGTGTCTTCGTAGAATTCCCCTGTGCCGGTTGGGATGGCCATCATATCCTCTGCCTCCTTCGTCACGGCACCCAAACCCTCTTGATTGATGCTGGCCGTTGGTTTCCAATTCTCAAGTCGTTCTTTTTCTTCGCCAAAGCGGCTTTCACCAGGAGTGATGGATACATTTGTAGTCATATTGGGGCCCCGACGAAGAATCAACTCCGTGGCGAAACGCGTACAGAGGCCGTCCTTGATTGGGAACTGCATACCTGAGACGGCCTCGAGGACAGAGCTCTTCCCCGCAGACTGATCTCCACAGACAATAATTTCGGGAAGGTCAATGTAGTGACTGACTCCCTGCAAGCGAAGCTTATCGATGATATCTAGGAGATCTCGGTGATCTCCTACGGAAATGTTTGCATTCATTTCAACTGTCTCTATGATCTTTGTAGATAATAAATGAAGGTTACATGTTTCTGTTGGAATTTGTGGCAGCAATGGTGGCTTTTTATCTTGAATGTATAGCTCGCCGAGCTCTGGTCCCCCATACCCAATCCAGTATACATTGCGATGATGAGATTGTTGGTCGGCCTCCTGCAGATTCAGGCATCAAGATATTGTCATTCCCCTCTTCCATTGTGCACATGAATTACGGGCCCCGCAAGATAATTGGTCTTGAATAAACTTAACTGTTGGCTCGTCAAGGTGGTTTTCACCATCTAAGTGGCCAAAGTCCGTTGGCAACAGCAGCCCAGCCCACGTTGGTGGTATGGAATAATGCACCATGTATGTATGTGGACAGTTTTGGGTGGTTGCCGATGCATCTTACTGGGCATCCCACGCCCAGACCGTGCCACGGCGATTCAGTCAGAATCCTCTGAGAAACTGTCATCTTGAATCGCTGATTTTTCTTGAGTCTTTTGCAGTGACCTCAGTTCCGTTGGTACAGTTGCCGTTAATGTCAGAGAAGGCCCAGCAGTCGAATCATAGTTTGGTGGTCGAGGGGGAGCAGTTAGTGCCGATTTTAGCTCCTGCCTCGTCAATTTCTCGATATCGCCACTTAGCTTTCTAAAGGGGGTCCTCGTTGAATCTCCTGGGGATTTATTGTACGGAGGCGGCATCCACGATTGATAGATCCTTTGGTGGCAAGCGGAAGCTTGCAGCCTGAGTGGATGATGACGCAGATATTTGTCGCAAAGAAAGCAAGCTTTTTTGCTCGTCCCAATAAGCCTTAGGTGGGGAGCTAAACCGGGGTTGCATTCGTAAAAAACAACGATTTGCATCTCGGCATGAAGCGTCAGTTTTGCGGGAGAGGCTTCACGCAGCTCCATTTCGGCATCCTGGGTGCCCAAATGTTTCTCAAGCTTCTCCATCGTCGAGTTTGTATCTTTTCCCAAAAGCCTTTGAACAATTGCAAGCAGTGGAGCGTCGCCGTATGGGAATTTGAACCGACGTGGTTCAGGCGCATTGATCGGTCGGATGCCGATATTGACGAAGATGCCGGGCTCCTTCACGGCGAACTTGACCATGGATTTGATCGCAGAATGATAGCGAGCGACTTTGTGCAGATTATCCAACCAGACCTGACTTTGTGATTCATCAAGCTTTAGTAAAGTTCGTAGTTGCTCAGCGTATTGCCATCGAGCTTCCGACGCCCAATTGATGAGCTTGACTATAGCCGCGCAGGTCCAATTTTTGATGCGGGAGGTAGCGGCTGTGAAAGGGCAGCTCTCGAGCCAGATCTTTAACTTTTCTGACTGGAGTTGCCTGTATTGCACTCCAGATTGTGTTTTTTGTAGGAACTGGCAAATGCCTTGCTTCTCGATCCTCTCTGCAAGTCGCAAAATTCGGCCTCTGTCAAGTTCAGCAACCAGTTGTAGAACCTCGGTCTCGGCTTGCGATGATGGCCTTTCTGTATCGCTCCCCATATTAGTCACGTTCATTCAATTTTCCAAAGACTGCATACCCCTTCTAGAAACCTCTTGCAACACTTGCAGCACTCTTTTAAGTCCAGCTAGATCCTCAGGTGTCAAGCCATGGTTGCGCGCCAAACGGAGGATATTTCCAATTTGGTCATGTATTTCCAGACAAACCGCCGTAGCTGTTTTCGCTCCTGAGCTAGATGTTGAACAAACAAGGGCAAATGAGTCTAGAAACTTTTGCTGGAGCTGCCATGCACTCGAAAAGCCGCCGTCTGGGTTCTCATCGAGTGTATTCCGGGTCGGTTTGCCTCGAACAGGGTCAATCAGACGTAACAATGTAGAGTGTAGTACAAAGCGATCCAGGGCGTTCCCTTTGATATTAATTAGTTCACTTTTGTCATTCATTGTAACAAAACTTGCGAGTCTCTTGCTACTGTGGGTGTAAAGACATGCGACTGAGATAGGTTGCTCTGTTATCAACAGTCAGTCATGAGTTGTTGGCTCTGCATGTTATTTTCCCCCAGGTCATATATAAGCACATGCATGCACTTCTCCGGTGGCTGACCTCGGATCTAATTGGTCCACGTTGACGTGCTGATGTCATGGGGGCCGGCTTCCAGCCTCTCCTAATAATTTTAATCCTAATATGCACTCGCCTACGTAGTGGCAACGGTGCAGAATGAAGCCATTTATCCAAATGATGTACTCAAGCCTAATTGTTTCCACGCGGGCTATACTCGAGCCAGCTTTTACTTCCTAGTATCTTTTCTCTCTTCAAATGACCTTATCCACTAGGTTGAGATGATTCTATGGCAGTGAGATTGGGTGGATCGATCAGCTGAGTAACCACATACTTTTGCCGTTGAAGCGAGCCATGCTGCGATCTGGCGACTGAGTAAGTACATGCTCTGTACCGCTGGCACGTCAGTGGTATCCGAAGCAATTTGACGGTTAGTTTGGCCCTTGTATTGCATGTTTAAGGCTCAGTCGACAACCCTGAAGAGTGATGGAGGGATCATGTCACATCGAGCAGTAAATTGCGCGATGGGAATGGCTGCGAGAATTTGAGTTCGTCATGTGGGATGGGATTTCCGAAAGTGGCGTTCAAATTCCATCCTTGAAGTCTGAGGTTTCCTATAGGTAAGCTTTAGCTCACTCGTGCAATTAAGTATTTTGCTTAAATAAATAGTTTGGTTCTTTATTGCTCAGAATTATCCTCAGATAACCGCTTAAGCGTAGGTAAATCCATGGCCCCAAGGAAGACCCAGAGGGTTCACGACGCTAAAGTCGCGCTCATGAGGGTTGCCCTGGAAGTTACCCTTCTGCGTAGTAAAGTTCTCAATCGTTCCCAGGTTCTTGATTCTTCCCAGCAACTTCTCAAGAACACGGTAACCCGAGCCAGCACTATATCCGGGAAGTTCATGGCCCGCAAGCTGAACCTCATACCATGTCAGACCACGCTCCTCACCCCACTGTCCAACAATACCCTCCTCACTGAGTCGTCCGCCGTTGTAGTCGATGTGGAAGGGGACGTAGAACTGCTTGTCTTGGGGATACTTCTGGAAACCCTTCTTGCCGTTCCAAGTAGCGTTCTGGATGGCGAAGAGCGTTCCGTTGGGAGGGAGAAGGAAATCGAGACGGCCGACTCCGATGATGGTGTTATTGGTGTGCTCAATGACGCGCTTGAGCACATCGGTCTGAGCGGGCGCGAGGGAAGTGTCGCTGCGGCTGGATTTGGGGTTACCGAAACCAAATACATTATTAGGAGTGCACTGATACCAGGTCACATCGGTGGGAGCGTTGAGGGCCTTCTTGACGTCTGTGCGGTTGAAGTAGACCTGGGCACCGGGGGGAGAATAGTCACCCTGTACTTGTTAGCACTGGTTTGCAGAAATGGTAGAGATGAGCTTACCTGGTTGACAATGCCGAGCTGGCTGTAAGGATGGGGGCAGGTATCAGTGATGTGATAGATGTTGAAGCAAGGGTTCGAATCAAGAGCAGCGGAGTAAGCCCAGTCGAAGATATCACAAGTATAGTTGCTCTTGGGATTCGTATTGGCATAGGGATCAGGCAGAACAGGGAACTTCTCCTCGGGCGGAGGGAAAGTTCCATACTTCTTGAGATACTTCTCATACCCGCAGTGCTGATGCGTCCATCGCAGGGCATTCATGTATGTCTGGTTGAGGTAGAACAGGTTCGACCAGTACTCGATGTACGGGTAGATGACAGCCTGCTGCTGAAGAGTGCCGTCACCGATGATAGGATCATTGATAGCCACGCCGCCAAGCTTGTAGTAATCGTCATCGTTGGCAGTGATGAAGGCATCGGCGATGTAGGGGACGTAGTAGCCTGCGTAGGACTCTCCAGTGATGTAGGTGGTGGCGCCCTTGAGCTCAAAGGTGTTGATAAAGTTCTTCCAGAAGCCGATGAACTGCTTGCCGAGCTCGACTTCGTTGGTGATGTTGGGCTTGCCTTGGCTGTAGCCTACACCGACGGGCTGTTCGATCCAGATAACGTTTGTGCTAGTCCTGTTAGTCAAGCCACGATTCAGAGATAAGCGTGAAACTTACAGGTTGGTCCAGCTGTAGGTGTTGGGCACGGGGGCGAGAGTTCCCTCTTGCCAGAGGAAAGGACCGTTCTCAGTGAGGAGACCACTGAGCGAACTGCAGCCAGGACCACCGTTCAACCTTAAAAAAAAAAAAGTCAGCACTACCCTCCAATCTATCAATTAGACCAAGACCTACCAAATGACGACCTCGTCTCGCTTAGCCTTGGGGTTGGTGCTAGGGAAGAACCAAAAGTACAGCTTGCGCTCCTCTTTAGGATCCTGAGAAATCGGGAGCAGTCCAGCATAAGACTCTCCAACGTCGAACTTGACCTCAGGAATAGCAGACCCGTTGACAACAAACTTTTCAGAATTCTTGTTCAGGAACTTGCTCTTGGATCGCTTCTCAAAGGCAGACTCCTCCGGGGCGACCGGTGCAGCAGCGCGCCTCTGATCGTATCGGCGAGGATGCACGCGATTGAAGGCGTTGATGGCATCCTTGTTGAAGGCAGCCTGGGACAGAGTCCCAAAGGCCAGAAGAGTGCTGATCAGACTGAACCGCATTTTGGAAAGACAGTACAGTTTTGGTCGTGCAGAGACGATCAATTGGTCATGGCGGGGAGGTTCTTATAGCTGCACAGAGCATAAGGGTCTTGCATTGATCACCCAAAATTGAATACTGCGTCATGGATAATCTGATGTCACAGCACGGAAACACGGCACTTGCACCATGTCAAGGATTATCGTTGCATAGCCCAAATGTATGTACAGATTGACCGGTAAGAACGGCATCGTACATACAGCAGCATCCATGTTGTATCGGGAACTGCCTCACTCGGTACAAGTGTGGAGAGCAAAAGTTCCGCCCACAGACCTTCCTATCCTGGCGAGCTCTCTTCTCCAAAAGCGCAGGGATCTTTTGGCTCTTTTTTTGGAGGCGCCGATCTTGATTTCGTTCAGGCTTGACGGCACTTCTACCCCTCATTTTGTCTTATCCACTGCTTGTTTACTTGAGAGAGTGTGTGCTAGCTTCTAATCGTCATCGGGCGCTACAAAAGGACGGATGGGACAAAATATCCTTGTAATCTTACGTGGAGACCTTATCTCTATAATTGAAACAATTGGTTCAACAATGGGGGATCTTTGTCTCGGTTAGACACAAGACGCATCCGATCTGCATAACGAGTAGTTGCTCCGTACTCTGGAAAAATACGTGATCGCTATCGTTGATAAGCAAGCCATTTGCATTCCTCCGCATGCAAGCCACACGCGAGTCTGACAAGCACTAACAAGAACGCCTCGCCACGCGTTTAGGCAGTCAGACGACACCCTTGGAGATAACCTTCCCGAGGTGGCTGAGATCTCGACAGAACTTCTCGAACCAATACCGCTTGTTTCTAGCGCCCCCTCGGACGCCGTCCTTCGCGACTCTTTTGTGGCACGATCGGATGTGAGGAGCCGTGCCGGTACGAGGTGATACTCTGTTCAACGATAACAATAAGGTTAATGAGACTGGTTTCAAGGGCCCAGCCTCCCTTTTTTTTTTCTTTTTCTTTTTCCCTCTCTCTCTTTTTTTTTGTGTGTCATCGAGTTTCGCTGATCGCGCCACGTGCTGACCGCTGAATTACTGCTTTCGCTATAGCCTCACTTTTTGACTCCTGTTAGTCAAGACTTGTCCGTTGCCAAAAAGTCAATTGAGCGTCTATGACTGACGTTTTGGCTGCTCGTATTCAAGCTTTTCGTCTCTCAACAGTCACGACTGATGATCTTCTGCCGAGCCGTGTTAGCGCCCGTCGCAAATAACGCATGAGACCGTGCTAGCCGTGCCATTACCCAAGATTAAATGGGACGGCAAAACAAAGTTTTATCCACAATGGTTGAGACTGAGTCGAATAAAGTACTTGAGTTTCGAGAACTTCAATTAAACTTTGAGCAACGACCCCGAATTGATTGATCTGAGTAATTTTGCATTCCGCAGTATTTTTTGAAACGAGTTCGGGAGTAGACATACCCTGTACATTTATCCACCAACCTGAGTTGGCAGCTTTGGGGAACAGATATTGACTTTTGAGTTAATTTATTATAACCAGAACTTATAGTATTTGGTTTAATATTTCAAAATCGTTATTTGAGAAGTGATAACACAAAAACAGGTCAGAAGGTAAGAATTAAAGACGGCATCAATTAATATTTGAAGACCTGTTATTGGAATCCTGGCTTTTGACAGCAGAATTAGTTTTGTCATTTACATAATTTTAAATAACCTTAAATGCAGATCATAAACTATAGAACTATCCCAAGTATTACTGATAAAAGTCTACTATAATGAGACTTTAATATTAACTATAGCTCGGTGTTTTCATTTCTCCACTGGTCAACTCTATCAACTCTGGTCCTTAGTTGAAGCAAAAGACCGAAAACTTGAAAGCGTAGAGAAACCCTCTGAAGCGACCAGCGTCACCATGTGCCAAATACTCGTTCATTGCACCGTGTTTCGAGTACCGGGAACCAAGCTTATCGTGTGAAGAGGCATAGCTCTACTGATAACATCACAGGTCCAACAAGCATGATAACTGGACAGACGCCAACCATAATTCTGTTTCGGTGTAGACTCCACTGACGAGAGGTTGAGAGAAATAATGACAACAAGTATAATGGTGATCCACGCGGCAGCAGGTACCGCGTTTGGCCAGTACTCAATGACCAAGGCACTGGCAGTGATCTCGTAGGCAATAGGGATGCCAAAGAAGAAGTAACAGCAAAGATATCCCATAGTAAAGCCAAGGCTCCCAGAGACAAAGCGAGAGCTCTGGTAGGCTATTGGTGATCCAGACGCTGGCAAGGAAGTGCTGACTTCAGT